AGAAGTGCCTGGAGCCACTCTAAAAAAAGTAATATAACTTGAAATAAGAAGAGTATGAAAGGTTCTGCTAAGACTCGATGTTTGAAGTAACCATAACAACAGGCACCATCAAGTTTCGAAAGACGTCACATTATGCTGTATATAAATTAGACAGAAAGTTGGAGTGAGCCAAGATGAGAATAAGTAAATTAAAGTGAGAGAAAACTAGGCAAAATGGTCCAAATTAATGTCTCCTTGAAAAACGCCAAAATCAGAAGATCATCGCTGCCCTTTAAATCTTAATAATCAAGTAGAGAACAAGGTCAGAGCACTAGGAAACCAAGTCAAGGATCAAGTGTAAAACAAAGATTTGCTTAATGAACGAGATTCTCTACATAGAGTTTTAGAAGATGGACGAATTGTAAAAGTTTATAATGCTACAAAGAAGTGCTATATACCAGTCTTCATGAACTCCGTCATGAACCTAGGAAGTTTAATGTGTCTAGTGGGTGGATAGTAGATGTAATCAAAGAAGTTCTGTCACTTTGTGGTCAAGAGGCTAACCGAACCATCTCATCGTATGATGATGAAACGTGTAAATTTGGGCACAAGTATAACACCTATGTGGTAACAGAGGATCAAACAGCGCATGTTCTTGAGAGAGATGGAAAATAAAGCACAACCTTTTAAATGATTGACAGTTCCAAAACAAATACTTCCTTCAATGAATTGCTGCAGGTGTCTAAATTGAATGTTTTTTTCAGAGGTCAAAGCTGGGATGAAGAAGATTGTTCGAAAATTAACAACTTATTCTGTGCTGTTCATCTGCTGGTCAATTTCGCCGATTGTACAGCACCCATACTCGCCAAGTTAGAAACTGGTGACAAAAAGATGACGTCATTGACGAGTCGTGACCAGGAGCAAGACAATGGATGACAGTGCCTTTGTCGGCTACTTGGCTCTAAAATTGAAATTTGGTAACCATCCACATGAAAGAAATGCACATATTGGCTAGCTCAAATTCTGACAACACTGAGGAGAACAAGACACACCTGACGAGATTAGAACATCCAAATACACACAGAATAAACCCGGGTACACAGCCCTAAGTAGTAAACAAAAGATCCCATGTTAGTCTCACCTTTGACCTTGGTGATGCACGCTCACCTAAAAAAACTTATGATCATTGGTATTTAAATTGGCTGTTGAGTGACTACGCCAACTTATCAGGCTATTGAGTGACATGAGACCAGTGTATAGCCGGCAGGTACATTACGCAGGTCGGGTCACATCGGGTCGGGTCGGGTCGCATCGGGTCGGGTCGGGTCACAATTTAGGTTGCAGGTAATCCGATTTTTGTCATACAACATTATATTTTCACATATTGTTTATCCGAACTGTCTATCTACCTACCCCGCTTTTTACACATAATTTTATTCATGCTGGTTATGTTTTAGTAAACACGTTTTCCCGAAATATTCATGCCTTCTACAGCTGATTGGGGGGGGGGGGGTACTCAGCATGACAGGAGACGGTTGTCACATTATAATTTTTCCAAATTCCAAAACTGAACATCGCTTATCGTTGGAACCCACACATGTTTTAGTTTATGTTAAAACTTTACGATTACGCCATTGTTACATTTAGCTACAATGTTATAGCATTCAGCCAATCGCATGATTTACCGCTCAAATGTTGTTATTGTTACAATCTGTCACTTTGCTGTTGCTCCACCATCTTGTTATCTCTTGGTGAGTCCGAAATAAATCTATCGAATGATCAACTAATTCTTGTGACTGAGTGGTATTCCTGAATCGTTCGTAGACGTTCCTTAATAGATTGTGGATATCCCCACATCGCTATTTTAATGCGATTGTTCCCAAACATCAATAAACTCAGTGCTTTTTCAAAACGTTGCATGCTGGTGATTATCTGATGGGAAGTCTGTTTGAAGATTTACAAACGAGCTATTATTTTAAAATTCAGAGCCCCAAAGGTGTAATTGGGTCATACTGCATTAAATGTATTAATAAAAGCACCCACTCACTAGACTATTGAAAAGATGCACAGAATTTGAATTTAACAAACAGCCAATACAATGGGTCCAAGTTTGAAGGCTGATGGCCCGGGGCTGATGGCAGCATATCCTTAAATATGCTGAAAGGTCTTTGCCTGGCTATGTTATATATAGTCTGGTTAGGGAACCAGACTATGTTATATACAAAGTTTCAAGTCAATGGGTATTGCTGTTCATTAAAAGATACTTTCAGTATTTGTACTTTTTTTCATCAAAAACGAAAATGGATCAGTAAAATAACATACGCAACAAAAAGTTCAAGAACGCTTCTTTCTGCCATGATGCGATGATGCTCACGCAAAACTCCCAAAAGATCCTGGTCGTTTAATACAGTATATTATGATTCTAATCGACGTAATAATCCCGTGGTTATCAAGCTTTTTATTCATTTGAAGAACAGATCGTATTCATAACGACAATTATATGTGATGAAAGTTGTATGGTTAATAATAAAATTACAACACTTTTTTCATAGAATAATTTATTACTCTCAAGGGCCTGTCTAAATTGTTACCCGATCCGACGACCTGACCCGACCCGATGCTACCCGACCTGCGTTATGTATCTGCCGGTGTATAGCTTGCAAGATGTCTGCCAATATATCGACGCTTCTCATAATGTCTTTTCTTCTCGCCCAATGCATAAATCTGCACGCATATGAGCTACACATATTGCACACTAATGACGTCCACGCACATGTTGAAGAGTTCAACAGAAGTGGCAAGATATGCGACCCAGAAGACAGGGTAGCTGGTACTTGTTACGGGGGTGTCTCACGTCGTTACACTGCCATTGAAGACGTGACCAAGCTTGTTTCTAACGTCATACTTGTGGATGCCGGAGATTTTACAACTGGCACAAAATGGAGTCAAGTATTTCGAGGGGATGCCACGGCGTATTTTATGAACAGATTAAACTACACAGCTATGGTGGGTGGAGATATTTATTTACAATAATAAAAATAAATACTGATCTGATACTCTTGAATGCAACGTATACTAAATAATATAACTATTATTTAAATGAACTTCCAACCCACTAAATTTCACATATCTACTTTAATATAGTGTTATAAATAGATAATCCATTACACGTCAAAGAGATAATAATTAAACTAATGACATTGACTTTGGCCAAGTTCATATAGATATAGATTTTTCTAAATATACCACAATTCCCAGTCATAATATAACATCACGATGAACACGTGTCATACAGTTATGCCGAATACATTACGAACACTGGGTATGGTGCGTCGGTTAGCTAAAAACATCAGACATACTCGCACTTCAAAATGCAGAGGAATGGGAGTGGTAATTCATCGTTATCATATCACAAGAGGACATCCAACGCCATCATAATCATAGCATATATAGGTTGTTTAATCATACTTATGGCCTCCACCCGTCATTTATAATTCACATTGAAGAAATATGAGTAATGTTGGACCCAAACCTATCGAAGTTCAATACCGAGGGTTTATTTGAGCCGAACGCGCATACACGGCCATTTTTGCTGGCTCGAGCCGTGTCGGAACCACAATCGAACTGCGAAAACCACAAAGGGATACGCTATGTACTTAAGATAATTATCATTGAGTTAGTTGATTGGCTGCTCATAGTAACAAACTACGTAAGCCCAAACTTCCGGCCACATTGTATGTATATTTTCAACACACGCTTTATTAGGAATAAAGTCTGCCAGAGGAACTCGCCCAGCCTACCGAGGAAAGATGACCCAGCTACTCAAGAAAGTCGAAGATACGATTGTGAAATTAAACAGTGAAGACGCCGCCGTAGGGCTCCCATAAAATGCTATTGTGTAAACGTAGCAATTATTTAACAACAAATTCTGCATACTGAATGGTACGTCATGCGTTTAACCATGATTTAACGAAGTCGCATCAATATTCAGTAGCTAGAAACGTTTGTTCTGTTTGCGTAAAATCAGGTCATAAATTCACTGTGTTCAGACAAAACCCTAGCGCGAGTCAAAACACTCAACAACGATTCCAAAATTCCAACTTCTGTCCATATATCGCCTTTTTTATCGAAGTCGAATCACGATTCGATCCGATAATCACAACCTTACTGTTACCTGTATTTGTGTTTTACGAGTCACGTGACTTACACAAACAACGTCTTCCTATTCCGTGCAAACATAGTTTCTTTATTATTAGTTTTCAATATTATTGCTACCCATTAGGTAACGATACGATAATTCGAATATACTTATGATTCTGCAATATCAGAAAAAAAAGCAATAAACTAATTTGAATTCGGGAAGCAGAAATTAATTAAATGGCCTTAAATACTGCTCTAGTTAAATAAATATATTTTCACTTCCATTTTGTCTATTTGTATGTGAACGATAAGCATACAGGTGGCATTGCTTTTTTTTTTTTTAAAGTCTATAAACTGAAAATGTTCAAATAAAAATAAAGATATGTATTTATTTCTCGGCGGAGATATGCAAGTTACCAGGAGTACAGTCATTTTTTGGCCCTCAGTCCATAACAGTTTTATTTCTTTCTTTTTTTATATTTAAAGTAATTTTATTTCATTTCAAAATTACAAATACACAGACAAGAAAAAAAAGAAAAACAAACTAGAAAAAGCCAATAATTGTGTAGTAAACAAATAAACTGCCCTATTTGTATTCAAATATCGACAATCATATACATTATAGGCTTTGCTATACAAAAGAAAAAGAAATTTGATATTTTCTTTTATCATAAAATTTCCATGAAACAATTAACATAATAGATAACACTTTCTTGAAAAACAATTAAGGCCGTACATACTAACGGGTTCACTACCAAAACATAGAAGTAACGTTGGAAGCATGTCTTATGGTGCAAAATTGGCCCATTTTTCTAGAAACAGTAACGTGGTATTTCTCTTCTTATAGAAATCATATTTTCTATCTTTCTTATATAACTAATTTCAGCTTTAATGGCAACAAAGGATGGTAATTCTTTTTTAATTTGCTTTTGCTTAATTTCACCTAGGGGAATCTGTTTTACTGAAAGCGGCTGGGGGGCACTGCAAAAGTTGACCCCAGTGATCATAAAACCTTGTCCAAATATCTTGCACCACTTGACAGTCACAAAAGAGATGAACCAGAGTTTCACTAAAGTTGTGGCAAAATGTACACATGTCAGAAATAACTAAAGGTGATTGAAAGTGATATAGCATAGCATTTGTGTACAGGATGTTATGGTTTCATTTCCATTGAAATTCACGAAGAGTGCTGCAAATTGTAACAAGAAATGGCATTGAATAGAAAAAATTGCATCCAGTTTCTACCCCCAACAAGTCTCTAAATAAGGACTGACTAGATGGAGTAATAAAAAAATCAGAAGAGTTTACGGCTGAATTTTGGGGTACGGTTAGAGAGATTAATCATTTGCTTTCGACCATATACACTGATTGGAGGATCTGGCCGCACAACAACTGGTCTACTTATTTTCCTGTCTTTAGGGATAATGTAATGTAATGTATTTAAGTCATTCCAATTTTTAACCTTGCCCTCCTCATTAAAGATGTCAGCTATATAAACAATTCCTAGAATCTTTAAATCTGAATAAAATATACTTTTATTCAAAATAAGAATGTTTTTATTATTCCATATAATCTCATATGCAGGGGAAATAAACTCGTTCCGTATAACATTACTCCATACATTTAGAATTTCCCAATAAAACGGTGGTAATGTAATATGTAGTGCATTTATTGAGAGGTTGCTTGTAAAAATTAGGTGTCTCCACAGTGGTTTTAAATAATATCTAGGAATCGTTTCCACGTATGACAATATGATGACAAATACCTTTTAACCCAATTAATTTTAAAAGCTTTCT